CTTACTAAATAAACGGGAAGAAAAATTGAGATAGAAGATAAAAACAAGAAGTGGGAGTATTGTTGGCGTGGTCGAGAGAACAGATGATACTCTCTGGCTGCTCATTACGAGGGGTTTTGTTCGAGGTGCTCTACCTCCAGTCTTTGACTAAACAGACTGACCCATAAGGCAGCGGGGTACATAAAAGTTCGCTTGAGGAACTTCATCCGGAATCTTTGGCTCAAGAGCCTGATGTACAAAGCAGCGGGGAATATAGAGGTATGCTTGAGGCACTTCACCTGGAACATTTGACTCAATAGCCTAAACCACAAGGCAGTGGAGAGTAAGTCCAGCTCGGGAATGTGATTGCATAGATCCACTGGGATACACTTGAGCTGTAACAGGCAGCCTTTGAAGAGCTTAGAACGAATCACGTGTTTTAGGCCTGGTAAACTTGAATCCCATGGTAGCTAGACAGGAACGCCTCTGCTGATGTGCATGTTGAAGGATAGTGGGCCGGCTCCGTTGATGAAACGTGGCCCCCATCCACATGCCTCCCAGTCTTATTCCTTCGGGTTTACACTGGATGTGGAGTGCGCGGATGGGACTGTAGATGATGCAGCGCTAGCCACCCATGGTCCCTCTGTAAGTGCAAGTGTCTTGTGGCTGTCATACGGAGGACGCAGTGACAGGCACATCCGGAACCGGATGCCGCCAACGCCAATACGCACCTGCGACTACTGCCAGCCGCAGGTGGTTAGCGGGTTTGTACCAAGTTGACCAGAGGCCGCCTGACTTGAGGCGGGCGGTAGCATACCACTGAGCACCGCGCCGTGTCCTCCCACCGAAGGAGACAACGCGTGGCATTTGTGTTTTACGCCAATAGAGCTGTGAGCTTATACCTCGAAGACCTGTAGTTTTCCCCGGCTACTTTTTAAGCGGAGAGAACCATCGACGTCTCCCTAACCTCCGAAGAGGATTGTGAGACTGAGTTAGTCTGACTCTTAAACAATGATCTACCTGTTATGATTGGGAAATAATTCCCGGGGATGACATCAGAAACAGAAAGTAGCGAACAAGCTTGTTTTCAGGGCTTCATCATCAGGCTAATACAACCACAATAAAGCAAGTTAGAATAGACACGATGGTTTAAATTGAGTCACTGAAACAGAGTAACTAATCGATAAGTCTACGTGTTTGGTCTGATTGGTCAAGTGAATTGGCGTGACTGCCATTGTTAGTCGCGTTGATCTCAGGCCAAGGCAAGGCTAAAGTGTGGACGAGCTTTTTCTGTGCACATAGGTCCGGGTTATGGAGCCGAATTGCGATCGCCTCTGCTGTCGACAGCAGGCGACATCTGACTGCCCGTGTGAAACGTCCAGGGACACAGTAAATCGGTGTGAATGCGTCACGCGAATCGATTTGATGGTCGGAGTCAACTAGGTGCGACAACACTGCACTCGTTATATTCTTCCTCACGCCGCTATAGAGCCAAGCTGGGCAATGCTCTCGAGCCCTAATGGACATATTTTGTATCGCGAATAATGGAATGTGCGTCGATGACCTATTGGCCCAGTTTAACACTGCACATAGCAATATAACTTTCACTATCGAGCTAGAACGTAATGACACGTTGGCATTTTTAGATGTCCAAATCAAAAGGGCATCAGATGGGTCAATGCGAAGGAGGGTGCACAGAAAAGCAACCTGGAATGGGCAGTACATCCATTTCGCTAGCTTTGTTCCGATAAGTCAAAAAAGGAACCTCGTCCGTTGCCTAACGGAGAGAGCGAGGAGAATATGTACAGATGATACGCTTTCAGATGAGCTGAGTTTTATACGAAACGTACTCGAGCGCAATGGGTACCCTGAGAAATTCATCCAGAGGCACATGGAACCACGAGTACAAAAGCCCAAACCCGTTTCAGTGGAGAAGCGGATGGTATACTTATCGTTGCCATTTAAGGGTGACGCGATAGCGGAACGGACCACCCGAAGACTTTCCTTAGCAACAGAAAGAACGTATTTTGCCGCTAATCTCCGCGTAAGCTTCACTTCAACACCGCTCGTGTGCCAACAACTTAAAGACAGGATACCTCGGTCGCAGACTTCCTTTTGTGTGTACAATTTCTCTTGCTCGTGTCGAGCAAGGTATATCGGGAAAACGACCAGGCGACTGTCCGTTAGGGCTCGAGAGCATTGCCCAGCTTGGCTCTACAGCGGCGTGAGGAAGAATGTAACGAGTGCAGTGTTGTCGCACCTAGTTGACTCCGACCATCAAATCGATTCGCGTGACGCATTCACACCGATTTACTGTGTCCCTGGACGTTTCACACGGGCAGTCAGATGTCGCCTGCTGTCGACAGCAGAGGCGATCGCAATTCGGCTCCATAACCCGAACCTATGTGCACAGAAAAAGCTCGTCCACACTTTAGCCTTGCCTTGGCCTGAGATCAACGCGACTAACAATGGCAGTCACGCCAATTCACTTGACCAATCAGACCAAACACGTAGACTTATCGATTAGTTACTCTGTTTCAGTGACTCAATTTAAACCATCGTGTCTATTCTAACTTGCTTTATTGTGGTTGTATTAGCCTGATGATGAAGCCCTGAAAACAAGCTTGTTCGCTACTTTCTGTTTCTGATGTTATGATTGGATATAAAGACACTTGGAAAGTGCCACCCAGCATAGCTTAAGGGATCACTGAGGTACGCAAACCATCGCAGCATGTTAAAAGTAAGGCACACTACGATAGATCCTCAGTTTCACATCGACGTTGAGGCTTAACGCCCAACAATAATGGTGAAATGTCTACGAGTCTCACTGCGCTACGAATTATGGAGGTCACTTCACGTGAAAGTTAAGTGGCGGCCACTTTATACCTTCAGTCTGAGATCCGTCTCCGCCACTAGCTATCTGATTCGCTTGTTTATGCAACACGTGCTCTATCCCACTGGACGTACTATACCCGCATGATTTCCTGGATGAGTATCATATATAACTTAGCAGATTAATCAGGCATTTCAAAACCGCTTTTATCAATATCATAGCGTCCATACATTACCATTCCTGTGAGAGGTCGCAACAAAAGAATTTCCGATGCCAGGATATATCACCCCTTCGACCCCAAGAAGTTGTAAAGGCTTACGAGTATAAAATGCTTCGGTTAGCACTTATCTAGCGTTGATTTTACCAAAACAGTCTTAGCTCTAAAGATATGGTTGGTAAATCCAATCAGTGGTTCTATTCCTGCTCATAATCGTTTGGATTGCTCCTCTGACGAGAATACAGAATTTCTGTGCTAGCACCGCTAAAAAGCGTGTGTTTGAGCTGAATACTCACACACGGTTGGCGGCATCCGGTTTCGGATTTGCCTGTCACTGTGGCCAGCCACAGGACGCCTGCGCCTACAGAGGGACCATGGGTGGCTTGCGCTGCACCATCCACAGCTCCAACCACACACCCCATATCCAGTGTAAACCCGAAGGAATAAGACCGGGAGGCATGTGGATCGAAACCACGTTTCATCAACGGAGCCGGTCCACACTCCTTCACAGGTAAACACAAGCACGCTGTATTTGGGGAATCAAGCGCACACAACGCGGTGGCTGGACCATAGTCCGCTCCACACTGAGTGCATGGAACCGCTCTTTGAGCCTAGCACGGCCACAAGGAATGTGCACCCCGTCCCCTCCAGCAACGACCAACTGTCTCCTGGAGCCAGTATGAACGAGGTAGTGGGTAGTAGACAGGTAGGCACCTTGTCAACATGCACATCAAGCGCAGCCACACCGGGGATATCAAGCAACAGCCATTCACTCTAAACGACAAGCTGAAACCAAATAAATCCAATAATGCATACAGATACGGTGGCATAACTTTTCCCTAAATTACCATATGAAGTAAGTTGGTTAGCAACGGATCTACGATAAGTAAGAAATGTCCACAAGTTACTTAAAATGCTACAAACGCAACAAAATTACCGAAGATAAGCGCAATTTGCGTAAGCAATGTGGCCAGTTAATAGAACATTATTCAGGTAGGCAGAACAAACTAAATAAAGTGGAATGAAATGTATCCAGCCTAAAAAGACTTAGTTTAAGTGTAAGTTGGTTTAGCCCAACTGCGGTGAAGAAGCATCAAGAGTGCAACATCAGCCTCAGCATGGTACTAAAATTCACACACATTAATGTGCCTCGACGGGGAATCGAACCCCGGCCCAACGAATTTCCGGTCCGCTGCTCTACCACTGAGCTACTCACACACGTGGATACATAAAAACATAATCTTGACTTCAACTGATAGACAGTATGGTTAATGCGATCTATTTGGGTAAGTGTGTCCAGTGAAGTAACTACTGTCCAGGCACCAGGACGCATCACAGCACCTAGTGGTCTTGACTTGATTTGTCAGAGCGGATGAAAGTAATAACCACAAGAGGTCAAAAAAGCAGATAGAAAGACGACAGAAAAACCGCCATAAAAACGCACTGACTAGCGGGAAGGTTGACGACCGGAGGGAAAAGCCTGAGTACAAGATGGCTATTGAGTTGAGGCCCACAAATTGAGATCTCAACTAAAAAGGAAAAACGCTCAGATGTGGTTCAATCGTCTAGAAAGAATCCATGATGATGGTTTCACCACGCGTGATGGAGAACCGACTGCGGTAGTGTTTGTTTTAGGAGTTCCTTTGTCTCTATCACTCAAATCAGGATCTCACAATCGAGGTATATTGATCAGAGAGGAAAAACATCAGTATTTCGCACTATTTATTGTTTTATTTTTTTAACGAATATTCTACTGTATTGTATTTGGGCACAGTAGCCAGGGTATTTCTCACCTCCAGCTAACGTGTAGAATGAGTCCATATTTTCTAGGGATAAACTGGGAGTTGACGCCACCGGGTGCAATAACGGTAAAACCTAGTTGAGGTAAGTTGGCAACAAGCATGAGATCATTGCTACCACCAGCAAGTGAGAAAGCAAAATTTCACGCGACTTTCTGAAATCACAACTCACCAGTCCTGTACGGAATTGAATGACTCCTCGTTGGTGATATCGTACATGAGAATGAAACCCATTGCACCACGGTAGTAAGCAGTCGTAATGGTACGGTAACGTTCTTGCCCAGCGGTGTCCTGAGAACAAAATAGAACAAATGAAACTAATGTGGGATCTTATTTGAAAATATAGTGTAAAGATACAAATTTCCAAGCTACAAGAGTGGAGACAAGTAAACGTCTGTTATCCGGAACAATGTAGTTTTATGTAAACTGCCTTTGCGATAGGAGATGGATGAGACACCTATAGTTCGTAATGATGCTTTCGAGTCAAGAACCAACAAACAGATTTATGTGGGTTGAGAGACTGCCAAGACACCCAAAGTAAGGTAAGAGCGAAAAGTGGAATACGGGACGTTAAGAATGTAAGTTAGACGTCCGAACCATTACACTATGATAGCAAACGTCATGAACTAAGAAGCGATGGACGAAAGGTGTATGTACCTTCCACCCACTAGGTTCACCGTGATACAAAGATGAATTCCCCTGCACCGTTTACAAAGCAGCCTTCGGTAGGATTCGTGTGTATCCGGTGAACTCAGTTTGGTGATGATATACAAAAAGGAGTTGTACCCCTAATCAGCAGTGGGGAAACGATTCAGACAAGTCATCATCATCAATACATGCTAGCCGAGGGTGACAAACACACCTCAGCTAATGTGCTGCAATACCAAAAAGATAACAAATTAAACCTTACAGACTACAAAAGCTAAAAAAGTGACAATGCTTAAATCACGTTATGCATTGTGTCGAGATTGATGTTAGAGGGGGGAAGCTAAAGGGGAGAGAGGGACAAAAGAGACTAACAACACAAACGCCATTGAGGTCGGCTTTTCACCATGTCGGCTAGTGTATCCAACCAAATGTGTTCATCGTCCTTCGGACCCCAGCCCGGTAATCGGGAAACACCAACCGATGCCAAGTACGAGGCGAGGGACTTCATTCCTCATGACCAAATCATCGCTTGGCCTCCCTCTTTTTCCTTCCAGACCAGTAGTTTTAATACAGTATACTTCATTCCGGGAATGTCGAATACCATTAGCTGCTTACAGAACAGTTGAGCCGGTCCTGCGCTAGCCTAATCGGAGGCTGTAAGTCATTACCTAGAGAAATATGAGAGGAAAAAGAACAAAGGTACGCCGGTACCTTGTGCCGACGGTTTTCTGCTGTGTGTGCTACAGATACTGCGAGGTCGTCCGTGCCTGAACAGGTTCAAACTGACAACCAGTGGATTACGAGCCACATGCCATAAAATATACCATTTTCCTTTCAACCCAGACGCCTTGCAAAACAAACTGGACGCTTTGCGAGTGACAATGGGCAGTTCATTTTGAGCAAAACATCAACAATATATTAACAAGGAGTAAGGCAACTGGATGATGTTCAAGCTACATTGCGGTCAGGTTAACGGAACCGAGTTGTCCAAACAGTAAACGTTAGGGCAAACAATTTTCGTGATCATGTCGTTCACCTCGATCAAAGGCGGTGACTCAGATTTTCCTTGTCTCCCATCGGCCCTCCTGTATTGCGTGTGTGTGAAGATGTGAAGGTGCGCGAGTATTGGAAAGTCAAATTCCCGAGACTAGGTCTCAAGCCCCGTTTGCAAAGAACACAGGCTATCGCAAGAAGAGCGACACTCATAGAGGTCAGCTTAGCGACAGTCATAGACCACATGACGATCCCGAGTGTTGCAGCGAAGAACCAAGGCATTGTCCACCCAAAAGTCACTAATGATAACCCCTGCAATAGTGCAAAGTTCGCAGTGTTCGTCGAGGAGCGCGTGAAGTGTATACACTGCAGAGTGGAGATAAAAGGTTCATGGACAATGCCAGAATACACATGCGGACGAGCTAAGGAGGGTATTAGGTTCATCATATCAGCTGAATTTTCTGTTGCTCTACTCGGACATGCTAAACCCGGTAGAAAACATGTTTTCGAAGACGGAAACCCTGGCGAGACGCATATTGACCAGGCGCTAAGCGTGATCACCCAAGACAGCAGCGAAATGATAAGGCAGCAAGACCGTATGAATTGTTTCCTCAGTATGATGATAAACCTGACGAAGGGAGCAGCAGGATAGTCCTTTATTAAATCGTAGTGTGAGCAAGACACCAAAGTGGCTAGCAACTGTTCAAACTTGTCGGTGATAAGTAGCTTAGCTCCCGTCTGACTGGCACAGGTGTCCTGTTACCAACCTGAGACCATGGAACCGCCATCACACGAAAACATTAAAATATCGCGGTGAGAAATGGCTCAGCTCCCGGACATGTCATGTTGCAAGTTCGAGACCCTGGAACAGCCATTGACAGTTGCAAGGCAACTGTTCAAACATGCAACGCCATGAGAAACGATGCGTTGCCAAATTTGTTATCGGTGATATCCCGTAAATATTGCGCATATTTGTGATGCAAACACATTCTTGACCGAAGCCCAAGCTTGACTTTTGCGCTTTCAGATGGCTACGTGACAGAATGAATGGAGGTGGGATTCGAAACCACGCCTTTTCGAACCGGTAACAAACTTGTGGACTTTGACGTTATTATTTTGCTTCCAGTTAATAAATTGCTGATGTTGGAGTTAAAAAAGTAGACTGAGTCCAATACCAAAGAGGAGGGTTTCGATGTGGCTCTCTCCCATCCCTGCACTCTCCAACCGACGGTTCCGTCCTGTTTTGGACTCATCAGATAGAGGTAGCCGAGAATGGTTTTCAAAACGTCCAGTTTAAAATGAAAATGTCACATAAATGGTGATTCAGTCTAGATGTACTGCTCCAGAAACAAGTGTGGTGAATAAGTTTATTCCTTATAGTCAGTAACTTTTGAGTTTGGCAAAGATCGGAAATTCGCAGAATGAGGTTGTCTTCAGCTAGAATTGGGTAGATATCTCAAGATGTAATAGCTGTTTTGGATGAGGTAAAGGCACCAGTTTTCTTGCTAACTAATGAGCAAGTTATATATATATATATATATTATACACAATCTGTGGTACAGATATTGTGCCATCGGAATCATGGCTGAATAGGAAAACAATATGAATAATAAGAAAAGAGCAACAAGAAATGCTTTTTTTGTCAAGTTTACCACTCACAGTTTTTGAAATTTTTTTTCAGTTTGTTCGTTTTTAGGGGGAGGAGGAAGGGACACCGCAACACACTGATGCACACGTCCGCCATTGACATCGATCTTGAGCCATAACTTCCAAGGTTTTCAACCAGCAAGTATCCTCGTCTCTCGGACCCCAACCAGGTAGTCGACAACAACCGGCCGAGGCCAATTGTTTCGTCAACTTTTTCATGCGGCTTCTCCATGTTGTAGGCTGTCCACCAGACCGTCTCTTCCAGCCCTGTCCAGCAAGTGCAAACAACGCACGACGGGGGTAACGCTGGACAGGCATGCGCAATACGTGTCCCAACCACCGCAGTTGATGCAGTGAGATGAGCTCCTCGAGCGAGTGGCTTCCACGTCCCAAGACACGCTGTCTAACTTCCACATTGCTTACGTGGTGCTGCCACCACACACGGGCAATGGACCGCAGACAGCGGTGCTCGAAGACGGATAGCCTGCGCAAGTCATCTTTACGAATGGGCCAGGTCTCGCATCCGTACAACAGTACAGCACGAACAGTTGCACAATAGACCCGCCCTTTGATGGAGAGACGAATGTCGTGGCGACGCCACAAATGCCTCAGCCTAGAAAAAGCGAGGCGTGCTTTCGAGATGCGCATCGAAATCTCGTCTCCAACAGCCCCGCCAGCAGTGATGCAACTTCCCAAGTAGACAAAGCTCTCCACAACCTCCAGTGTCTCACCAGCAAGCGTGAGTGCAGGCAGAGGCACCTGCCAGTCTTGAAGGAGAGCCTTGCATTTGGATGGCGAAAAGCACATACCATACTTTGATGCTTCAATCGTCAAGCGGTTTAATGCAAGTTGGACGACCTGTGGATCGTCACCTAGCAAGACGATATCATCAGCATAATCCAAATCAACAACTCGACTACCTGGGAGGAGCTCAACGCCAGCGTTAACAAATCGCTCAGAGCGTTCTTCAGGACATCCTCAATGGCAAAGTTGAATAGGAACGGAGAGATAGGGCATCCTTGTCGAACTCCACTGGAGACCACAAAGGTAGGCGAAAGCATGCCATAAGCCCTAACCCTGCCCGAGGTCAGACTGTACAGAGCGCGCAGTATGGAGACGAACTTCTCGGGGACACCGTTCCTCAGAAGGCACTGCCACAGTACTGTATGATCGACAGAATCGAAGGCAGCACGGATATCCAGGAACACAGCAATCGTTGGCCTCTGATACACATGGCGGAGCTCGAGGATCTGGCGAAGTGTGAAGATTTGATCGATGCAGCCGCGACCAGGGCGAAACCCAGCTTGTTCTTCTCGCTGCAACGATTCGCGTGTTGGGGATAGCCTGCGAAGTATGATGGACACCAGCAGCTTGCAAACGACGGGGACTAAACTTATTCCTCTGTAGTTGGAGCAGATTGTGCGCAGGCCCTTTTTGAAGATGGGTACGACTATCGATTCACCCCAAGATGATGGAACCTTCTCTTTCGACCAAATTTTAGAGAACAAAACGGTGAGTTCTCGGACCAGCGATGCGCCACCATCTTTAAATAGAGCTGGGTGAAGACCATCAGGGCCGGGAGCTTTATAACGCTTCAGGTGCCGGAGCTCCTGCTCGATTTCCTGGGAAGAGGGAGGGTCTGTTGGGGTAGACCACTCGGCCCCAGCGCGAGCGCCAGAGGTAGCAGATGGAGCTGGGGGCCAACAAAACTGCGAGCCAAAATGTTCGGCCCATCGCTCCAACCGTCGTTGAAGATTGGTGATTAAGGTGCCATCCTCTTCGCATATTGTTTCACTTATACCAGATCGAACACCTTCGGTGACTCGAAGGAGATGGAAGAGTTTCCTGGTATTACCACAGAGACTAGCAAGCTCCATCTCCCTAGCACGTTCACACCACCAAGCTTCGCGGTCCATTTGCAGACTCCTGCGCAACTCTCGACCAAGGTATTGGCGTTCTTCAACGTGTCTCGAATCCGATGTGATCAAGCGGCGTTTGTCCAT